AGGAGATGACCATGATGATGGTCCCCATTGTGTTCCTCACCCTCCACCCCACCCCAGATGTCCCCCCCCAGCCTGAGCAGGTCTCCCCACCCCATCCCACCTGTGAGACCAGGCGCTGGTTCTCGTTCAACCACGTCTCCCTCATCACCACCTTGTGGTCAAACCTTTGGGCCAGGAGCTCCAGCTTCTCCTGCCTGATCAGCTCCTCCCTCAGGGCCACCTCCCTCTCGTGCTCCACCTTCTCCAGGCAGGTCCAAGCCTACGAGGTTGGGAACATGAAGGTTCCACCAAGAGGCCCCTCAAGCCTCAGAGATCACGTGTGTGTGGGTGTGTCCCCCCAACCCCACCACCCAGGATGGAGAAGCCACCACCTTGTTGACATCAGAGATGGTTTTGCCTTCACTGGGGACGTAGAGTTTGCGGTTGGTGGCCCGGAGTTTGCTCTGGATGGTGAAGAGCAGGACCTCCAGGTTGCCCTTCTCCTGGAACCTGCGGGGTGGCAGCACCAGGGGGTCAGGAGATGCTTCCCCCACCCACCCAGGTTGACCTCCATCCAGCCTAGAAGGTCCAAGGAGGTGGCCACAGTGGTGGCCCCCATGGTGGCCCTTTATCCAACCCAGGAGATGACCATGGTGATGGTCCCCATTGGGTTCCTCCTCCACCCAACCCATGAGATGACCATGATTATGGTCCCCATTGGGTTCTTCCTCCACCCAACCCAAGAGGTGCCACCATGATGATGGTCCCCATTGGGTTCCTCCTCCACCCAACCCAAGAGATGACCATGATGATGGTCCCCATTGGGCTCCTCCTCCACCCAACCCATAAGATGACCGTGGTGATGGTCCCCATGGGGTTCTTCCTCCACCCCACTCAGGAGATGACCATGATGATGGTCCCCATTGGGTTCTTCCTCCACCCAACCCAAGAGGTGCCACCATGATGATGGTCCCCATTGGGTTCCTCCTCCACCCCACCCAAGAGGTGCCCATGATGATGGTCCCCATTGGGTTGCTCCTCCACCCAACCCAGGAGGTGCCACCATGACGATGGTTCCTATTGGGTTCCTCCTCCACCCAACCCAAGAGATGACCATGGTGATGGTCCCCATTGGGTTCCTCCTCCACCCAACCCACGAGGTCCTCACTTGATGGGTTTCTCCAGGGTGCAGAAGGTGGTGAAGGCCTGAAGCTGCTGCTGCACCCCAGTCAAGGAGTTGGCAAACTTCTGGTTGGTGATGATGGTGATGGTGTGATGGGTCCAGGCCAGGAGCTCGGTGGCCAGGGCCTCGTAGCGCTCGATGATGGCCTCAATCTCCATGGCTTGGTCCAGAACCTGGAGGGAGAAGGGTGAGGAACCCATAGGACTCATGGGGATGTCCTACTGAAACCCCCCTGAGATATCAAGTGGTGGGTCCTGGGGTCATCTGGCCGGGGCAGGGAGGGATGGGACAATCCAGGGACCAGAGGATGGGGACAATCCATGGAGAAAGGATGAGGAGCCCCATGGAGAAAGGTTGGGACCAAGCCAGGGAGCAAATGATGGGACAGTCTGTGGAGCCAGGAATGGGACAACCCATGGAGACAGAGGTGGGACATCCCATGGAGCAAGGATGGGACATCCCATGGAGCAAGGATGGGACATCCCATGGAGCCAAGGATGGGACAACCCATAGGAGCAAGGATGGGACATCCCATGGAGC